CGCTCGTGGGGAGTAACCTCGACACAAAGAGCGGCTGCGAGGGAGACTAGCCATATGCAAATTCCAACCTACAAACCCATCTACAATCAGTTAGGTCCCGTTTACATGAGACCGGAACGACGTCAAGTCGGGGCCATTTCGTTTCGGTCATAGTATTTATCAAGGTTCGTAGTCTCCAAGACCAAAAAAATTCAAAGACTTTCAAAGATTTTTGCTGCCTATTTTCAAAGACTTTTCAGAGACCTTTGAGAGCAATCAGCTGTTGAAAAACTGCAAGTATAAGCAACATTTTTACCCAATAATTAGTCCTGTCAAATCACAACCTAAAATGCGCTTTTTCGTCCATATTTGCGAAAATCTTGCTTCAATCAATCTATTTTATTAGCTAGGAAATCGTATAATCAAATACTCACTAAAGAGTTTAAAGACTTTTAAAGATTTTCTTCGCTTTTTCACACAATTCAAAGACTTTTCAAAGACCTTAAAGACTTGCATTCAAATTTAAAGACTTTCAAGGATTTCAAAGACAGCTACGAACCCTGTTTACAATAGATGTTTACATGAGACTCATGGGACGAAAATAACTCAGACCGGTCTCACGTCATTCCGCCTGCTAGACCGAGCCGACTGACTTCAGACCGGCATGAATTCAGACTGGGGCGAATGTATAAACACAAATACATTTCAGACCGGTCTCGGCTGTAACCTTGACATTGGAACAACACATGCTACCAAAAGCCATCTAAAAAAGAAAATTGCCTGGAAAGGGAATAAATTGAAAATTTTGTGATTTTCGTAATTTCGTACCGGTCTCTTGTATAAACATGTTGACAATTTCAATTCTCATTCCAGTTTGACTTCGTCCAGGTCTCATGTAAACGGGGCCTTATCCATCGAATGCAGATTTCCAAAATCCAAATATGAAAACAAGTGCAATAAATAGTAAAGCCTACAATGAAGGAATCTTACGTTTGCTTGGACTGCTCAAGTCAATTTTGCAACATGTCGTAGAATAAATGGGATCATTTTGCAATTGATTTCCAATTGACGAGTTTCCAATTGATGAATTGAGAGCTAGTGCTGCCTTGAAGGCTTTCGCTTTCACTGTCACAATATTGCCACGCTTGCTTGTTGCACTAAAATGAAAATTCAAGAGTTGTAAACGTGTGCCATCTGACGTGGACTCGAGAATATTGGTGTCTTAAACAGGGCAGGAAAAAAGAATTTTCTTCCTGGGAGTACAACCTGGAGACAATATTTCCTGCAGACCAACGGAGTATTTTTGTGCTAAACCTGCATGTGCATAAACATATAGTGTTCTAGCTGACCATGGTTTTAAATTCAAGGAATAATGCCTGTCAACCATATGTTGTTGCGCCCATAGTGGGACATGGCTGTTAAGGGTTCCTTCAAATTTTCAATAGCAAATCTTCATCCAAACGAATTTCTTGCGGCTGTCTCAAAATTCATCTCTTGTATCAAATTTTCAATGCCCACACCCTGTATCGGTGTTAATATGAAAAGCTACCATAGATATCTTATACTGTATACACTAGATAGCGCATCTCTTTTAGTAAAATTGAAGCCAAGAATATTCCAGCGGTTACCCCGCATTTGAATAGATGGCGGCCATGTTGGAGTTTCCCACTCGCTAATAAACGCTTAAAAACAACAATAACTTTCATCATTTGAATAGTTTGAAAATGTTTTGGAAAAGGCTTAACTTAATGTTTAAGTTCCTTGTTTAAGAAATAGAAGACATACGAGTCTTCTCATTTCATGGGAATATCTTGAGTCTGCAATCACGGCTTCAATTTTTGAATTGCAGAATAATTAGATGCACTATCTAGTGTACATAAAATATCTATGAAAGCTACCAAGATTACTGTTGCTGCATGCTCGAACAACTTTTTGTCAGAGTACATATTTCGACGTTTTTCAAAATTATTATTTATAGGCAAAGAAATGAAATTCCAACACCCAGTGGTGTCAAGTAGCGAAGTAAATGTACTTCGTTACTGTACTTGAGTACTATCTTTGAGAAGTCAGCATGTAACAAAGTAAACTTTTTCTTCAGTACAGTACTTTTACTTGGAACGAAGTCGTTTTAAGAAGTAACGTTTTACTTCGTTATTTTCATTTTGTGGCGAAGTATTTCGTTACTTTCTAACTTTTGTTTTTAATTCTACGTGATTTATTTCTGATTTATTTTAATTTTGGGATTGGTAATACGACCTCCACATGCATCAGGGATCTCTCGTTTGTGGCTTACTTATAAGCATTATTTATGGTTTTCTTGTTTCTTCAACGGAGCCTGGAAAGTAGACCTTGCTGTGGAATATTGTATATTATTTTTTTGTAAATCAGCTGCGGGCGGAATCCTAGCGTTTTCTGCAATCTGATTGGCTGCAGCAGCGGGCGGAATTTTACGATATTTGACCACGGTCCGGAATCCTATACGTAATGGCCGAAGCAAAGCAAAAAATTTTTGTATGTTTGTTTTAAAACTGAAAAATATGAATATGTAATTTTGAAATAATTTTAATGATGGATAAAATAATTGTACTGTATTTTAATTGAATTGTTTGTTTTCTAAAGTAAAATAATTAAATATCAAATTTTTTTTATTGTTTTGTTTTCTATATGCGCAATCTAATAAAACCGTTGCCATTTGCCTCTGAGTCTTCGACAAAAAAATAAATACGTTATTTATCGTTTAGGTCGGTCCGGATAGAAAAATATTTTGTCTCGGTCTCAAAAACGTCCCTCGGCCTTCGGCCTCGGGCCGTTTTTGAGACCTCGACAAAATATTTTTCTATCCGGACCTCCCAGCCGGTAAATAACATATATTTAGGTGCACGCATATAATGCGTGCATGTGCTGTTTTGTGTCTTTTATATGTCAATCCACTGGAGAAGTCCCCCCTCCAGTACTTTTTACTCTTATTCAAGTCGTTTTATTGTTAATTACTTCTACTTTTACTCGAGTACGAATTCAAAGTAATTTAGGCACCACTGCGGCAACAACACAGATGAATAGAGGACATCAAAATTAGTAAACTGGCAAAGTTTGGTGGTAAGATATTGTAAAGTGTAGATGATATGGCATTGAAAGGTTTGCTCGCAACAGCCTATAGCATAAAACTTACGCGCTTCTGGAAGAGAGTTTGAGAATACCAGCAGCATCACAATGGCAAACGATCTTCGGTTTTCCAAAATAATCCATGCCAATGACGACATTCTCAGACAGTTTGTCTCTTCTTTGACGGACATTGTACACTCTGCTTGAGTCCTCCCCACAACCAAGTACACAGGTTGCTAAAAAACATTCATAATAATAATAATAATAATAATAATAATAATAATAATGGAAACTTTTTATTAGATATTTACGATATACTATATATACATTGATAAACCTCACTTAATAAAAGGTAGCTTATCGATGTCCACTTGAATTGAATATAAAGCTAAAATATATATACAGGTGAAAATCTTTTAAACTTAGTTAAAAGTTTAAAAGTTCTGGGTTGTTCCAGTCTTTGTTTCGTCTACAGAATAATAATAATAATAACAACAACAACAACAACAACAACAACAACAACAACAACAACAACAACAACAACAACAACAACAACAACAACAACAACAACAACAACAACAACAACAACAACAACAATAACAATAACAATAACAACAACAATAACAATAATAATAATAACAACAACAACAACAATAACAATAACAATAATAATAATAATAATATCATAATAATAATAATAATAATTTATTAGTGATTCCAAATTGAATTGGCTCTTCTATCACATTCATAGAAAATTTTGGAGTTGTGGAATGGGCCATTTGCATTATAGACTAAATTTTGATCTAAACAAGTCTAGACAAAAATTTCATCACAGCTTGAAAGAACATCACACAATTAGTAATATTCCAAAGTTTCGTTGCGAAATGTTGTAAAATGCAGATAATATAGCCCTGCGCAATTTGCAATTTTCAGTAATTTTGTATTACAAACGGGAAATTGATGCCCCAACACCCGATTGGGCTGTCAATTTCCCGTGCGTAATACAAAATGACTGAAAAACGGCAAACTTCGCAAGGCTATATTATCCGCATTTTACAACATTTCGCAACGAAACTTTGGAATATTACTAATTTTACGATGCTCTTTCAAGCTGTGATAAAATTATTGTCTAGATCAAAATTTAGTCTATAATGCAAATGGTCCATTCATGTTTACTTGGCTACCTGTAAAACTATGATATCTAAATGTATAAAAAAGGAAGAATACAACTGAAAACTATAAAAGGATAATAGAAATTGAATTGGGAATACTGTAATTTCTTATTCATATATTATAGTGCAGTCTGAAATCAGTGGCTATCATGCATGTATTAACCAATCGCAAGCATTTAATTAATCTACCGATTATATAACCAATCAGATGTAGTGGAAGTCAAATCTAAACTTCTCTTTAAAAAAACTTATTTCTGTGGAAACGTAAGTCATATAAGCAATAAATCGTAGCAGGATTCTTCCCATGTATATAGCAAAATAAATTTGGTGAAATAATTTGTGTTGAATTATATTATAGAAGATAACCTGTTTGCCCAAATCATTATAATGTCTAAGTATAACAAGATTAAAGCATCTACTTAACACAAAAGCTACAAACTGTAGCGCATGCATGCAACACGTTTCATATTTTAAAATATATGGAGCTTGATGCAGAATATATACGTTGAATTATATAGTTATTAAACTGATATACGAATGGCGGGTAAGTATATATAATTACTTTACCTGCATGAAAGCATAATTGCCCAGAAAATATTAAAATATTTTTAACAACATTCATAATATTGAAGTTTATAAAACGCTTATAAGTATATACTTGTTAAACGAAAGCACCAATTTGACGAAAACGTGTGTAAAACGAACTATGTTGTCCTTATAGTATATGTAGATCAATTATATTTATTGTCATAAACACTGTATACCTTAATTAAAATAGCATATATATATTTGCTTAGAGTTTTATCATATACATCTATATATAGTTTAATTAATTTTCAAAACACATACAATAATGTTGCACAACGTCTTCATTATTATAACATATATATATACTTGTAACTTGATGAAATATTTTATGTCCAACAGTAGTACAAGTAAATATATATACGACAGGAATTCGATGAATTAATTTACATGAAAAATATTTCATTAAAATATTACGAAATTTAACAGCATCAAAGTCCTTACTTGTCACGACGAACGTGATAAATCCTACCAGAATTCTTTCCATCTTTTCAAATATACTTGACGAAGCCTTAGCGGGAATTGAAGAGCACAAAATTCGCTTTAAAGTTTCTGCAAGAGAAATTAATTCCACGCCTGGACTGGCAGGAACATTGTTTTAACGAAAAGTCATGATAAGATGTGACAGGCGTACAAAACGGCACTAGCTGGACGTCAAGCAGTTTTCACTCTTCCAACTGGTGGATAGCTGGTGATTTAATTTACAAACTTTTATCGAGGTCTCCAAAGCAGTGGCGTAATTACATACTAGGAGAATAACTATCGGCAAATAACTAACGAAAATTTCCATACGATCTTCCCAGAAACATTTT